GCCTATGCAAGTTGTGGGGGACCCCATCCGTGCCAGACCTGCAAGTTCCGAGATGCCATTTGCCGGCAATGCAAGCGGAAGGGGCACATTATCAGAGTCTGCAGAACAAAGCAGAACCCCCATTACAAGCCACGGAGCAATGTTAGCCAATCAGAGACGGCGCAGCGGACGAGAACCAATCCGAAGGGTGGCTACAGGAAGAGCGCGAAATCTGAGAATCTTGAGGCCTGCACCATCCGAATCGGCCGGACCTGCATATCCCCCGGGGAGAAGACCTACACGACGGTCGACATTGAGGGGCATGGGTGCGTAATGGAGATTGACACCGGATCCCCAATTACCATCATGTCCTGGGACAAGCTAAAGAAAGCCATCCCCAGCATCCAGAGACGGCAACTACGGCACCAGCGGCTGGGACTGCGCGATTACCAGGGGAACCGCATCCCCGTGGAAGGAATTGGTGAGTTCCAGGTGGAGTATGGGGAATTCCGGGAGAAGCTTCCCCTCACCGTGGTCAGCGGAAAGCTCCCAAGCCGCCTGGGCATGGACTGGTTCAGAGCCCTGATCATGGGATTCACCGGAGTCCGCAACGTGCGAAGCACCCTGAAGGATGACCTGATGCAGGAGTTCCAGGACGTGTTCGACGAGAGGCTCGGCAAGTATGTGGGGACCCCTATATCATTCAATCTCAACCCCAATATTGCCCCCATCCGGCTGAAACCCAGGAGGGTACCCTTCACCCTAAAGCCCAAGATCGATGTGGAATTGGACAAATTGATAAAGCAGGGGGTGTTAGTGCCAGTCGATCATGCCCGCTGGGAGACCCCAATTGTGACCCCCGTTAAGCCGGACAGGTCTGTGTGCATCTGCGCAGACTATAAGTGTACGACAGAGCCCTTACCCGGTTCCGATCGTACATCATCTGCTGCATTCCCTAGGACCAGGCAAGATCTTTGCTAAACTTGATCTTGCACAGGCGTACCAGCAACTGCCGGTAGATGCCGCTACCGCAGAGGCACAAACTATAGTAACGCATAGAGGTGCCTTCAAGTGTACCAGACTCCAATTCGGAGTCAGCATAGCTCCAGGACTGTTCCAGAGCACCATGGAGCATCTGTTACAGGGGATCCCTGGGGTGGTCCCGTATTTTGATGACATGCTCGTCACCGCAGAAGACGAACAGCAGCTAGGGGAGAGACTGAGACAAGTCCTAGGGAAGTTCAGGAGTGCAGGACTCTGGGTCAAACGCAACAAGTGCATGATCGCAGTCCCTTCCGTGGAATTCTTGGGGTACCGGATAGACGGAATCGGCATACACCCCACAGAGAGCAAGATTAGGGCAATCCGAGAGGCCCCCACCGCCAAAGACAAAGCGGAACTACAAGCGTTCCTGGGACTATTGAACTTTTACACAATTTTTCTAAGGGACAAGGCAACAGTAGTGGAGCCCCTGCACAGACTTTCAGCCAAAAAGTCCAAATGGGTTTAGGGGAAGGCTGAGGCTACCGCGTTTGCGGCCGTAAAGAAATTCCTGTCGGTCGAGAGTTTTCTAATTCAGTACAACTCTACGCTTCCCCTAGTGCTAGTCTGTGACGCGTCCCCCTTTGGCGTGGGGGCCATCCTGAGCCATAGACTATCGAATGGTCTAGAGGCACCCATCGCCTATTACTCCCAGACTCTTTCAAGCGCTGAACGGAACTACAGTCAACTTGACAAAGAGGCCCTGCCAGCTGTCTCAGGAGTCAAGAAGTTCCACGAATACCTGTTCGGCAGAGACTTCGAACTCATCACAGACCATTGCCCCCTTCTGGGTCTCATCGCAGGGGACCGACCCACCCCAGCAGTCCTATCTCCCTGGATGACACGCTGGGCCATCTTCCTGGCAGCATACTCCTATCGGCTGGAACATCGACCAGGGGTGAGCATGGGCAACGCCGACGCCCTCAGCCGTTGCCCGTTACTGGACAGGATAGAGTACCCCACACACGGAGTTCCAGTCCTGCTAATTGACGTCTTGGACTCGGAGCCCATCACTTCAGCAGAGGTGGCGAGGGCTTCAACCAGAGACCACGTGATTAGGAAAGTCACGAGTTGGGTCACGAGGGGGTGGCCGGAAAAGACTGAGGGCGGGGAATTCAAACACTTCGCTAACAAAAAGGGCAAGCTGACAATGCAAGGGGGTTGTCTTTTGTGGGGTGATCGGGTTATTGTTCCCTTGTGCCTAAGGGAAAAAGTTTTAAAGCTATTGCATGAGGGGCACCCCGGGATTGTGAGGATGAAGGGGTTAGCTAGGAGTTATGTATGGTGGCCCCTAATGGATAAAGATATCACTGAGTGGGTGGGGAAGTGCCAACCCTGCCAGGAGTCTAGGCCAGACCCCCCCACAGCACTGGTCAGGGAATGGGAACGGCCCCAGGGTCCCTCGCCCAGGATCCACATAGACTTCACTGGCCCATTCCATGGGCAGATATTTATGGTCATCGTGGACGCTTTCTCGAAGTGGTTGGAGATCAGACTCATGAAAACCAGTACCACCAACGCCGTCATTAGGGAGCTAAGGCAGTTGTTCACCACCCATGGTCTACCGGACACCTTAGTCTCAGATAACGGGCTCCAGTTCACGGCCACGCAGTTTGAGGGATACCTAGCAGAGTTGGGGATCAGACACGTACTCTCCGCCCCGTTTCATCCGGCTAGCAATGGATTGGTGGAGAGATTTGTGAAAACGGCTAAGGAAGCCATCTCAGGCCTAGGCCCCATGGACTGGCAGGAAAGGATAGACAAATTCTTAATGGCCCAAAACGCCACACCATGCACCGCCACAGGCAGGAGCCCGGTGGAACTTCTAATGGGGAGAAAGCTCCAAGGAGTCCTAGACAGGCTACACCCCAGTTATTCCCCGGACAACTTCAGAGGGGCAGAGAAAATGCTTAGGGAGTTCACACTAGGAACGCCAGTGTTAGCTAGAAATTACGGGAACGGGCCCCTCTGGGAAACCGGGACAATCACGGAGGTAACCGGACCCAAATCTTATAGAGTAGACATGGGAGATGGGAGGATTTGGCGCCGACACATTGATCAGTTATGGAAGCGTTGGGCCGCCGACACAGCCGACATCTTCGACATGCCCTGGTCACCTGAGAGACTTTGTATGCTAATGCCACCCCAAGTGACTTCTGGGAGGGGAGGAGTGTTATGTATGTATATTTTGGGCAGGCAGTTTGAATTAACTGACCGTCAGCTGATTGGCTGACCACCACAGCTGCAAGGTATATAAAGGGAGCTGTTTCCCCTGGTCAGTCGCTGGGTTCTCACCCTACAATAAAGGGCTGTTGTCACTCACTGCCTGGCTTGCTGCGTCCTCATTCACCCAACTTAACACCAACTATTGGCTAATCTACCAAGAAGCAGATGTGAATGTTTTATATTCCTGTTTAAAGAAGCATGCAGTAGTAGTGATGGGTAACTAATTATCCTGACCCAAGCTTGGAAACAAACTTTCTTTGGTATGAAAATTCCTGACTTGCTGAAAACTTTCTTCCTCAGGACATAGCAGTGGAACAGCTATATTTGATTTAATATTAACAAATAGGCAGGACTTGGTTGATGAAGTGGAAGTAACAGTGTTCTTGCTTCAGATAAGTCAGTCATAAATGCTGTCAGGTTTCGTAAGTACACAAGCAAACCTACTGACAAAATAGTAAAAACAGGGAGATAGGAAAAAAATCAAAAATGAGTTAAATCACTTCAGGAAGGTTTTATATGTAGGAAGGATTTCTCTAGATGGAAGTGATAATGGCTACAGACTGCATTATTCTTAATGGGCAATCCCTAGCACATCCTGCTGCTCCCTCCCTTTTATAATCTTATTTTTTATTGTAATTTCCATTTCTATTATTTTAGAAATATTTATCTTTTATGATTTAGTGCTATAAGCTGCCCAGAGTCGCTTCGAAATAAGATAGGTGGCAAAATGTCCATTATCTTATCCAGTATATATATATATAATGGGTATTGTATTATTGTCACTGGATCAAAGCTTGAAGGAATGGTTAAAATATAACTGTCCTAATTATTCAATGTAGAAAACAAAAATGTTGTTCTATTTCAATGTAAGCAGCATGACACTGTAACACAGATTAAGTTTTATGCTTTGAAGGAATTCTGACAGTTCTAAAGTTCTACTTATCTTCTAAATGTTGCAGGCAGCTGGGAATGTTTCAAAATCTCTGGATTTATGTATTCATTACCTGTTCTTTAACATTTTGAATGATACTCAAGGAAACCTGGTTCACATACTTAATAACAATGTTTTCTCCCTTTTAAAAGCCTTTAAAAAAAGAAAAGAAATGAAATGACAACAAACACCTCATATTTTATTAAATATTGACTTGGCAGTGCCTGTTTAAAACTAATATCATGCTTTGGAGATTGAATGGCAAGCATAGATACTGTGAGGGCTTTATTTTCCATTCTCATTTTGTTTGTTTACCAGTAGGCATGTTCCAGCAAACACATACTGTAGAAAGGAGGGACATTATAGAGGTACCCCGCTGGGTAATATTGTTCTCTCAAGAGTAATGTGTCACATTAACATTCTAACCCTTCAATTTTTTATTCTGTGCAAAAGCTTTATTTTGTCACACATGTCACAGTGCCATGTTACCTTTTTAATATTCACATCTTGAGTGTTTTTCACTATGCCTTGACAACAGCAATAACGAAACAAATGATACACAAGCTGTATTTTTAGGAGGTGCGACATTTCTGTCTCAACCTGGCAATGTTTGAACACTTGTTAATAAAAGCACTAGCTGTTTGTGGGTTAATGCCAGTTCTTTTCACAAAGTCATGTCATAGAAACAGGCCCCAATCCCAGAAGTATTTATGTCCTTGTGACAGTGGGACTGAAGGGGGCTAAGGTCCAAAAAGCTCTTTAAGTACTGGGGTCATGTTCAAAAGAAAGCTGTGTGATTGTCTCCATCTTCTCTTTCTGAAAGGTCGCTAATGTCAATGATTCGTAAGAAGTCTCATCCAAACAGCAACTTGACCAAAAAAGAAAAGACCTCCTCTCAGCAACAATCAGGTATAGTGTATTTTAAATGAATCATTTTTGTCACAGCACAATATTGTGCCTTCTAGGCACTTTAAATAAAATAAACCAATTTTAAGAACATTCCTATTCACTGAAAGCCAGTACAAACAAGCGGGGGGAGGGGGGTTTCTATGAATAATTGTGGTGGTGGGCCCAAAAATGTAAAACAGAACGTTTCTAAATCCCAAGAGAGCAGATTCTGCTGTGAAGTACAGCCTACTAATATACTCAGGCTGAGTTTCTGTGTTTGATTAGTATACGTAACTTTGTTTCTACCTGCTGATTCCTTCAGACTGATTTCTTGTGATGAACAATCAGGTAATCACAGCATCACATTCTGAACATCTTTCTTTCTAGTGCAATTGTGTTATGGCAGACCACAAAATTGCAATTAAAAGCATTCCTATTGTGGGATCCACAATGCAACAACTTGCAATCCTAGGGGCCAGGTGTGACTGCCAAGCTGTCTGGTCTTCCCATATCAAATTGTTTGTCGTATAAAACAATCTGTCCTACTCTTCAGCATGCTAATGTAGTTTCCCACCAAGCCTTCCTTATATATATATAGATACAAATATAGATACAGATATCATCTTCCATTCTGATTGGAGAACTGCAGAGTTTTAAGAAACAAGATGGCTACAAAAAGTGTGTTAAGATTAAATTAACAAAGACCATGTGGACAGAGGGAGGATGGAAGATAGTGTATTCTGGAGAGGATGAAGGAATGGGTAAAGGGACCGACAGAGTAGCGAAAGGAGGGAAGGAGAGAGATTATGTTAGATTTCTGTATCTTTGTACTATTTAGCTTGGTAGTCCTCTGAAATCTTGGCTCAGGATTTCCATTCTTTTGTTTTGGAAAACACTGAATGTTGCCAGGAGCAAAAGACTTTGATAATTTTTCTTACTTCTATTCCTAATTGAATGAAATTCTTCCCTTTCACTAATTAAATTCAAGCACTTGTTTCCTAAGAAATTATATAATTATTTTCCCAGGATTCCAAATGAGCATTTAAATTTTTATATCCTTTTAAGTTACCACTTCTTTGGGTAGGCAGCCAAGGTCGAAAGCATCTCTTGTTTCTTCAAAGAGGATAGTGGTACTGTTACCCAGACTTAACAGGCCTATTCATAGAATAACAGAGATATTGATGAGCTCTGTTTTTTAATAAACAAAAAAAAGCATGGTTCTTTTATATCTTTTTTTTTCTTTTCCCTCCTTCAACAATTAGGACTGAGGTCTGAAGATAAGACAAGATAAGAAGCTATTCTTGTATGTTTTCCTTCTCTGATGGGACAGTTGCAAGGCCCAAGATGCTTACTGGTGTCTTACTTGCTCTCACAGATCAGTAGTATCTTCCCACTAGGTTTCACAGTACCATCAAAACAGAGCAAATTCAACTGCCTACTGTCCCTTTCAGGGCAAGTGGATTGTTTGTGAACAGCTTTTCTTTCCTTTCCTTTCCTTTCCTTTCCTTTCCTTTCCTTTTCTTTTCTTTTCCCTTCCTTCCTTCCTTCCTTCCTTCCTTCCTTTCTTTCTTTCTTCCATTTGGACAAGAGCATAAGAATATAAGAGAAAATTATACAACCTGTGGAAGCTTGATTTAGATACAGAAGGGGGTATAATGACTTTCCTACTACTATTCCCTTCAATTATCTTGACACAAAGCAAGATAAAACACACTCTGATCTTCTCCAGTTTGCTGATCTTCTGATAAATAAGGAGGTAAATGGCTGAAACTGAGAAAGTCTCATTCTGTACTCTCACTTCTTCCTGAAGTATCACATAAAGGGAAAAGGTAGCACAAATTAAGATATTCTTGTTTCTCTTTGTAGCAAAAAAGGGAAATAAATATTCAGAGACAGACTTCATCAAATAGAGAACCCAAAATAGATAAACATATAGTCAAATCTTTCCATCACTATTACTTCCTTGGAGCCTGGTCAAAAGGAGGAAACTCCCAAGTAGGAAAGAAAAATATAGATTGATAATAACCCTGAGGAAAATTGAATCCATGTCACTGATTCAGAAGGTTTTAAAGATTGATATTCAACTGAGCTCAGAATCTTCATTTTTTTAAAAAAAAGTTTATACCTTTTAGCAATAACGTGATAATTTGTACAGTTCTTGTTTCAAATTCAATCTTACTTTGTTTAAAACCAAGTTATTTTATCTACTTTAAATATTTTGAATAATTATACATTGTTGTTAGTTGTGAAGTCGTGTCTGACCCATTGCGACCCAATGGACAACGTTCCTCCAGGCCTTCCTGTCCTCTACCATCCTCTGGAGTCCATTTAAGCTCACACCGACTCCTAATTATATATACAAAAACCATTGATAGGAACATCATTTTATTGCCTGTTCTTCTCTTGTTTTCATTCTATATTCTCCTCAAGAAAATTATAATACACCAGAGTAAATCAACTATTTATGTTCAGTAATCATTTTTCTTCTATAAAATAATTTCTGTGCTGAGAGTCCCAAAGGTATTTTCAGATTCCATATTCTTAATATGACACATCAAACAAATTATTTCTAAAATCTACATTAACCTTAACTTTATCATACAATAGATATCCATACAACCCAAATCTTAAATCTTGGCCTTCTGATTCTAAAAGCCTCCTGTTTCTTAGCAACATCTTTTCTTTCATCCAGACCAAACAGCAGATTGCAAAATATAATTTCAGATCAGGTAAACCCAGTCCTCTTTTCTTCTCTATCTTGTAACACCTTATATTTAACTCATGTTTTTCTCCCCCTGCAACACAAATTTAGACATGTCTTTCTGCCACTGTTTTAAGTGGTACAGTACATCAGATGTCAAAACTGGTATTGTTGGAAATAAAACTAACGTTCTAGACAAGACATTCATCTTAATCACAGTAATTCTCCCCGACAATGGCAATTGTGTTTTCCCCATCTTCACGTCTTCTTAATTTTGTTCCAGATCTTAATGCAATTATTTTGAAATAACATAAAATTCATATTTGTCATACTAATATTCTGAATATTTTATCTTATTCTCAATTTCAAAACCCATTTTATTCTTCAGACTTATGTGATCTGTTGACTTCATATTTTTTGCCAACATCTTTGTCTTTGTTGATCTTAAAACCTGCAAATGCACCAAATTATTTTAATTTTACCATTCAAGTTTCAATTCAAATTTAAGGGGTCCTCTAAGAACAAATATGTGGTCACTTCTAGTTACTGTATATTCAAAGACCTCAGCTTGTAACAATGCATGACACAATCTTATCTGCAAGTAGATACACTTGCTAAATATATTTTTACTTTATTTTGGGAACAGGAACAGGAGAAGTAACGGATCTGAAGAGACAAGCTGTGGAAGAAATGATGGATAGAATTAAAAAAGGAGTTCATCTTAGACCTGTTAATCAAACCAACCGTTTTAGGGCAAAGGTTGGTAGATAATAATATAACATAAATTAAACATAAATGAGGGAGTAGGGTTACTTTCTACATAAATTGACTATCACCTTCTTATAATTGAATTTTTCTTTTTATGAATATCCTATCTGCTCTGATCTGCTATTTTAATATGACAGGGTTTTATGTCATTGCTTAGATTGATATAGGGTCATCAATATTAAGAAACCACCAGCCAATTCATGGGATTCCCTTTTCTGATACAAGAAACCTTAGATTTGAATAAGATTCTAGTACTCAGAATACAATATTTTGATCCTGTTAGCTGGATCAGCTCTTAGCGCATATAGACTAAGATAAGTACAGCAAAAATATGTGTATGCTTAAAATGACTTCGGTTATTTAACTCGAAACCTTATAGATGATATTAAAAAAAAAAAAAGAATTGGATTCTGTCAGTCACCTGTCTCAGAGCCTCTTCAACTGCTCTTAGGCTGACTCTGAAGAAAAGAAGCTCATTTTGTTAAGTTTCAGGGGAGAATGAAAATCACCAGCATTGTAATTCATTCTGTATTATTACAATTAAATATAATCATACTTGAATGAGCTATTAGAACATTCTTTTTTAAAAATCAAAAATATTCCAAACACACAATAAAAAAAAAAACCCTGCCCAACTTTCTGCCTGCTTTTCTTCTTCCTGCCTTCCTGCCCAACTTTATTCTATTAAGATTCATTTAAGATATAACTGCTACATTCCAAAACCTTATCCTTCAAAATAGATACTTTCTTGTGGAATCCTACTTTTATTTTTCTTTCTGTAGATGCGGTTTACTTATTTATTTCTGACTCTTGAATATTTTATTTATCATCCGCAAAATCAGATTATCTAGATGAATGTTTTGTTTTTAATTACAGCCAGAGGTGGCCAAACCCAGCGAGAGTGCAGTGAAAGAACTAAAAGGAATACTGGTAAATTGGACTGGGATCTGCCAGGGTAGGGGTGGAAATGGGATGGAAAGAGGCAGGGAAGCCAACTATGATTTTTTTTTTCCTGGCAAAACTTTGGTGATATTTGGCATATGTTAAAAAAAAAGATGCAGACAGCTATCATAAGATCTGTGGGTGACTCTTTTAATTTCATCAGTTTCTGTGGGGCTTTTACAGAAAGAATGTGGCAGTGGTGGGTTTCAAAATTTTATACTACCAGTTCTGTGGGCGTGGCTTGGTGGGTGTGGCAGGGGAAGGATACTGTAAAATCCCCATTCCCTCCCCACTCCAGGGGAAGGTTACTGCAAAATGCCCATTTCTTCCCAATCAGCTGGGATTTGGGAGGCAGAGAATAGATGGGGGCAGGGCCAGTCAGAATTTTTACTACCGGTTCTCCGAGCTACTCAAAAATTCTGCTACTGGTTCTCTCCAGAACTGGTCAGAACCTGCTGAAACCCACCCCTGGAATGTGGGTACCCCTTTTCCATCTAAATTCTTCAGCCTGTAGACTGAATAAGATCTTAGTACTAGCTATAATAAGATCTAATCTGCTAGTGGTACATCTTTTCTGTACTGGAACTAAATAGAGCACTTTATAAAACCAACTTCTAATACGTTCACAAGCCTAGTCATTAGCACAGTGAGATGGGAAGAATAGGATCGGGGGACATAAAGCAAAATACTTATATGTATATTGTTACTGTGCTAATTATGCATTTTATGTTGGCCTCTGTATAATTGTGGTAAACAAAGTGATATTAATTTGTTCCATTTCAAGCGTGATGTAAAACAGCTTATGCTATTTGCTTTGCTACTAGATCTGTAGCCCGAGCACAATAGCAAGGACTGATTTGCTAATAATATGACTGCTCTGTTAAATTCAAAGAACTAACAAAATGCAAGATTTAACTTAATTGGAGGAAACATTGGGAATTAAATGCTGTTTTGCTTAAATCTTTAAAGATGTGCCAAGTTTAAAAATTATGTGTTTTCATTTTTTTTTCCATAGTCATTTTCAAGAGAATGTAGGCATAATCCAGACTGCATACTGAATGTGTAAGATGTTTTGTTTTGTACTGCCACCATAACTTGGTCTATAATTTTAAAAGAAACCTTAGAAACAGATGGTATGGAGTTTATTTACAATTACCATTAAGTTATCTTGATTTTTATACTGGTCATTTTTCACTGACATATTTTATTGCAGGAGACTTTGAGTACATCTGCAAGTTCCAGAAGTTTAAAATCCCTGGATACATACGGTAATGAAACAGAATTAGAAAGAATTCTGAGGCTCAGAAAAGTGACAACTGATCAAGATAGTAGCAGTAAGTAATGTTTTCAGAATCTGAAACTGGATTATGTTACATTTTCAATAGTACTCCACTGATCATTTATTTATTTATTTATTTGATTTGATTTCTATACCGCCCTACTCCCGAAGGACTCCGGGCGGTGCACAGCCAAACAATAAAACACATACATACAAAATTTAAAAGTAGAATTAAAATCAAATTAAATAGTTTTGGCCCAGACAAATTAAAACCCCAAACTATTTAAAACCAATTTTAAAATTTGAATATATAAAATACTAAAAGATATTTAAAAATTAAAAATCTTTTATAAAAGAGGGAGAAAATTAGGCCAGGCCTGCCTGGTGAAATAATAAGGTCTTTAGAGCGCGGCGGAAGGTGCGCAGATCCGGGATCCTCCGTATCTCCGGGGGGAGCTCGTTCCAGATAGTAGGTGCCCCCACAGAGAAGGCTCTCCCCCTGGGGGCCGCCAGTCGGCATTGTTTGGCTGTCAGCACTCGGAGGAGCCCCTCTCTATGGGAGCGTACCGGCTGGTGGGAGGCTATTGGTGGTAGTAGGCGGTCCCGCAAGTACCCAGGTCCTGAGCCATGGAGCGCTTTAAAGGTGGTAACCAAAACCTTGAAGCGCACCCGGAAGACCACCGGGAGCCAGTGCAGCTCGCGCAGGAGGGGTGTTACATGGGAACGCCATGTCGCTCCCATTACCACCCGCGCGGCCGCACTCTGCGCCAGTTGGAGCCTCCGGGTGCTCCTCAAGGGGAGCCCCATGTAGAGACGTTGCAATAGTCCAGGTGGGAGGTGACAAGGGCATGAGTGACCGTGCGTAATGAGTCCCGTGATCATGTTTTTCTTACGAAACTATAATATGCAAATTCTCATTACTTGGCAGAGCTCTGATCACATTTCCAGCGACCATATTTTTCACACTATAAGATGCACTCCCCCCCCAAAAAAAGTTGGTGAAAATATCTCTGCATCTTATAGAGCAAATATTGTGGTGGTGGGAAGGGGGGTTAGTGCGGCTGTCACTGCTGCTGGCTGTCACCGCTGCTGCCTGTCACCACTGCTGCCGCTTGCCACCACTGGGGAACACTGGAGCCTTCGCTGATGAGCAGATGATCAGGGGTTGGATCAGCCTCCTGGAATACCACTGATCAGCTGTTCTAGACTGCGGGGATCGCTGCCAATCACCACTGCTGTTTGCCGCTGCCAATCGCTGCCGATTGCAGTCACCAAATGGCAGAGAGCGATGGCGATAGAACAGCTAATCGGCAGTATTCCGGGAGGCCAATCCAACCACCAATCAGCAGTGAAGGCTCCAGCATTCCCCGGCGGCAGCAGCAGCTCAGCTCAGTTGACCAGTGGTGGGTGCAACGGAGCAGAGCCCTGACGAGCCACCTGCTGGAGCTGCGATAATGTGCTGAAGCTGACCATGCTGTTTGCTGCAAGGATGCTAGCCAGATGAATACTGGCTGGATGCTGGGAGGCAGAGGCAGAAAATTTTTTTCTTGTTTTCTTCCTCTAAAGCTAATGTACGTCCTATGGTCCAGTATATCTTATAGTGCGAAAAATACGGTAATTCGTGTTCTCATAATAGTTGCGCTCTTAATATCACAGTATTTCTTAGTAAACTATTGGATTAAGTAAACTTCTACTCCTTTGGACATTGAGATAAAAGCTGCTGTGATTTTTTCAACTAATAGGAACTTTTTCGGTTCATAAGATGAGCAGATACATTAACAGTTGGATATCATATTAATAATAACACAGGGATGTCAGATGGCCTAGAACATCAATATATTTGTGACATTTGATAAGAACATTTCTAAAACAACATAGTCCGAAATCATTTGAGATTGGTAAATTAAAGGGCTACTTGCAGCTATACAAATGTGTCTCCCATTGAGATACTCTTCAAAAGCCTTTTTTTAAAAATTTGGCATAGTCTGTCTATAGTTGGATAGAAGGTCTTTTCAATGATAGGTAAAATTCCTTCTCATGAATCTTTACTATGCCTGCATTATTTAATTAGTAAATCTTTATGCTGAAACATCTTGAAGCAGTTTTTAATTATAAAGTAAAATAAATAATAGAATGGTAATTAATGCAATGTGAAACCAATATTCAACTGAACATATTCATTAAAATGTAGAGGGAAAAAAGGAAAAATATGGAGAAACCTGGAGAGAGGTTAAGTTTTCAGCAGCTGCCTAAATGTAATATAGAAAACACTTCTTAAATTTCAGTAAGAAGAAAAGAGCACTGCTCCAGAAAAGGGCTGCTGAATAACAAGCCATCAAATAGCATTCAGAATTTCTCAGCATGTTTAGCAGGATCTTCCGCAATACCTCAGCAATCAACCAAGACTATAAATCTAATGGGATAGGCAATCTGTTGATGTCCTGGTCCCACTATGTATCATAATCAAAATATTGAACCAGGTTTAGTAGCCAATTGTTAAACGATATCATCTTCAGGGCCAGGTGTCCCATTCAGCAACTTGGTGACCACATTCCACACCATCTTCAACTTTGTTTTATGCAAATTGCTATGCAGAACTGTTGCATTCTATAGGTTTTTGCTCTTTCTATAAGCCGTTTTAGGAAGGCGTTGTCCTGAAAAATGGCAAATAAAAAAATAAGTAGCCAGGAAATAAGTTTTTGATTTTTTTCTGATTATAGGTATAAATTCAAACATGTCTCCTCCCTCATTTTCCTGGTCTATTACCATGCATATCCAAATAATGCAAGCATGAAGAGAGAAAGTGAAAACTGCATGTTGTTGGATGAACATTGGTATACAAGAGAGCAAACAAAACTTCTTTCAAATATTAACTTTTTAAAAATAGTGACACTTTTTTTAATAGAAATAACAGATAATTTTTCTTGGAATATGTAGTTCAGATTGATAAAATGTTATAGAAAACATGGCCTCTGTGGCCCATTGGTTTGATTTTCATTAGCTACTCTTGTAAAGCAGTATCTATTGATAAGAGTAGGAATGGTCAAAGGGGGTCAAAGGATACGGCTGCAGGTAAACCTCGAAGAACCTGCTTAACTAGTCTCTAAGACTCTATGGTCAAGACTCTAACTTTGGGGGGAAAGTTCTGTTTGATTACAAGCATGTTCCGTTGTTCACAGTACTTATATAGTGTATCTAAAATAGTGAATTATATAGTGTAGCAAAAATAGTGAATTATGTAGTTCAATTAATTATCTTATTCCCAAGGATAAATTCCCAGTGCTTAACTGGGAATATATTATCAGGAGATCTGAACACAAGAAATGATATAAATGATCCACAGTTTTATGCCCAAATAAACATTATTTAAAGATATTTAGAGATTTGAGCTATGTGAATAACATGTAACATAAATGCCGGACTCTTATACATTTCAGATCCAACTGGAACTTTGGCTACATCTGAATCTAAATCTATGCCAGTTTTGGGTTCCATTGAAACAGAATCGGAATTTACTAAAAAATATTTAGCAGCAAACTTCAGTTCCAAATCTTCAGGGCTGGACGAAGAGACTCATAAAATGGTCAAAAGCACAAGTTCTGCAGTTGTCACTCAGTAAGTAATAACTGGTTGTTGTCTCCAAATGCTACATACTTCAGAGTTTATGAACTATTTTATTTGTGAGGTTCGTTCTCCAAGCTTGTCGGTTGGTTTCCAAATGTTTCATTACCAGTCTAGGTAACATCTTTAGTGGAGTTTAGGGGATGTCAGTGTCAGTATTCTTCTATTTATAAGGGCTTCAGGTATGGGTGTATCAAGACCTCAAGAGTTTGACAAACCAAACTTATCTGCCCCAATATGAAGACCAAATCCAGTATGTGACCAGATATCTAGATTGGGTTGGTAATGATCTGGCACATGGCCATGGTCATCATGGCAGCCATGAATTCCTGAACTGTCTCCAACCCCAGAAATGGGACATTGGAATCACCCCAAATCATCATTGAATCTTCTATTTGTGCCAGCTTTTCAGCTTTGAGATACATTCCTCATTTTTGACATTAAGAAAGACATAGAACTTTGAAAGAACAACTGCAACTTCAGCTACCAGGATACTGATCCCCAGCCATGTTAGTTGCTTAACTCAAATAATGCAAGGACTCTAATTGAAATTAGACATTTAGTAGCAATATTATCTTATTGGTGGCAACACAGCATACATTTGCCAAGAAGATGAATATTTTCTCAGCTCAAAGCGCAGCTGTGGAAACAACTCTTAATCAGTGGGATTCAGGCTGTTGAGCTAGTTGAAGTTGTGGGGATCCAACACTTTGAAGCCTCCATCTGTTTAGCTGAATAAATCCCTAGTATGGTTGGACAAAGTATTACCTGACTGTACATTTTCTTTCAAAGTGCTGATTTATCATCAAAGAGTTAATCCCTCTTCAGAAATACATACTTCAGGTAGATCCGGTCGAGGGTCAGTTTGTTTTATAACAATTCACAGCTTTTAAGAAACTCTTCTCAGGTTTTCATTTGGTCCTTTTTCCAGGATGTCAGGCAGTTTATTACTGAAAGAAAAAAAAAATAGGTGAGACAAATGTTATAATAATGGTTAATTAAACCTCTGATTTCCTGCTCTATCAGTGGAAAAAGGAACACCCATTCTCCAAGGCCTGCATCTCATAGTTCAAAGGGGTAAACCTAAACAAATGAAGTGGAAATTCAATTCACTTCTATTTACGCACACTGCTTTATTCTATACTAATGCTTTTATCATTTGTAGAAAAGAAAAGGGAGAATTTCCTCTGTCACTTGCCTTTATGGTTTTATTTTATTTGCTTCTGAATTTGGGTGTTAAAAGAAAATCTCCCTTCCTGATCTCCACCACTGTCTGATAAAAAATTTCCTGTACTTTTTTTTTTTTTACTTTTCTGATTAAATTTCTTCAATTTGACATGGTTGCATTTTTAACCACTTTTGAACCATATAAAGGGCAATTTAGTTCTGATCCGAGTTGATTTTTGTTTCCTATAAACTACAGCATTGTTCATCTATAGATTTCCACCTCTTTGAATGGATAATGTTAATCAGTATATTCTGCTACCCCTGCTACCTTTTTTGTCCACCTTTTATTCTAAGAAACTAAGTGGAAATTACATTTGCAAGAGAGGAAATGAAATAATTGTAGACCCAAGGTCTCCCAGAATGCGTGGTGAATTGACTGTGAAAAGGATCTTGTGTTGACTATCATAGCTGTTAGATGCAGTAAAAGCAGACATGATGTTTTGTTTAGCATACAGACTGCCTATTCAGCAAGAGCCAAAAAGAATCTTTGGGGTTTATCTGCTTTCCAAAAATTAAAAAAAAAATGTCATAACCCATATCCTTTGAGATTACATGTAATAATGTAGGGGTTGCCTAATCATATTCAAGTATTGTATAAACACCTAAGTATATACCTGATCCTGTAGTGATTTCTGACATATTATCTGAACACTGAACATTTGTTCAGGATTGATTAAAATGAAATTAGTATGGCAAAAAGATCCATTAGGTAATGTCTATCCAAACTGATTTTCGCTGTTTTTTATTTTGTGAACTACTTGCCTCCTTCACTCCTGTACTAAAGCCAACCACTTAAATTAAGAACAAAAGAAAGGCTGGCCTTTAGGATCATAATCTAAATATGCATGATACAAGAGACATGGAAGAGATAGAGAGGGAAGGAGAGGGAGAAATTGGTTCTTAAAGGGCAGAAAGGATGCGAGCTTTGAATCTAGTGAAGTTGCACTGCTATTTTGGATTGAGAGCATTTCTTTATATAAGAACTTGTAGCTCTTATTCCTTTGGACAATAAATAACACCTGGATGTTCTGCTCTTAAGCTGCCTAGTTCCAAAGTCCGCCTAATAGGCTCTATTATTTCATTATGGGGGGGGGGTTTGAGTAAAGCAAGTTTCTTGCAGACTTTCTTTCTTAATAACTGTAAGGGGTCAGTTTAGTCTCTCTTTAGTGTGATGCTTTTTACAAGAAGCAAAGCAAGCAGCTCGCCAAAAATCCATAATCTCCTTTGGATGGATAAAACGAGAATGTGCTGCATCAGTTCCCTACTTCTAAGGCAATCGGCTATGCTGTTCAGGAATGAGTAGCTAGAATTGTATTTGCACAAAATTGGAAAAGTAAAGAGATCCCCACAGATAAGAATGTGATCAGGAAAATATTAGAATGTGCAGAAATGAATAGACTAATGCTAGCAATTAGGGAGAAAGAACAAACTGAATATTATATGACATGGGACTTATTCTATCAATGGTTAGATAACAAAAATGGAAGTTAGAAACAGGGAAACAAAAGAAAAAGATTAGAGAAATAAAGAAGATATGTTAAGAGAAAGAAGCAAATATTATGATTATTATGTTTAATATCATTTTAAGATTATAGAATTAATGTTAATGTAATGAATATTTATACATATATATATATAATTTCCACTTGAATGGGACAACATTTATTTTGTATGTAAAAAATTCCCAAGTTCCTACATTTCCAGTGAAAGCATTTCAGGTCACAGGGCTAAGAAAAGTATTCTTTTTAACTCATGCAGTGTAATTGTTGATAAGGAATGGTGAGTCATTAGTACATTTCCTTTACTTGCAACAAGTTGTGGATTTATGCCAATTTGATTTAAAGCAAGCACTAGCAAGTATCTCTGCAACATTATAGAAATTGCATGTTAACTTTTTAAGTAAACAATTTAAATATTAGTGATATTAATTAATATTACTAATGAAATAAATTTTATTTTAATGTATTAAGTATTAGTATTAATAATAATTTGGTTTAAATATAATGACATTTAAAATTAAGTAGCTTAAAATTAAGAATCCCATGGTCATTGTCTTTAAATCAGGGAGTTCCATTTTAAAATATAAGCTTTATCTGTTTTCAAATCACCTCAGGACCTGTTACTGTTTGCATCTGAAAGTCAGTGGTGTTCCCTGAAGCAAGGTGGCTGACTCAATGTTCAAGCTGCTTAGGGCAGAGATGTTTCACAAAATGGACATGAGAAAAAAAGAGAAATGATCACTTTAACCTGTTTTGTGGTTGGTTAAATAGAGGAGGTTGTTTTTGTGAACTATTCATTATACAAATGGGCGGGGGTGTTCCATTAAACTATGATGTCTCCTTTTGGCATAGCCGATGTGCAATAAATATGTGGCACTTCAAAATGTTATAATGTATAAGAGCAATAAGCAAGCCCTTTCCCACAATAGGATAGAATTTCCTTTTTAACAAAACTTGAGTCGGGCTTTGCAGCAGATTGTTCAACAAAGCTTTGCCCTCCAGTGAGGTTTTTATGTTATATGATTCCTTTTGTGTGTGTGGTTGTTTTACATGAAAGATGAGGTGTTGGCAGATGGAAAGAAGTACCCCACCTCATGAGCCTGAGTCCCATTCAACATTACAACGGCTGCTCTTTAAACCAAACAACCAACAAAAATAGTCCTTGATTTAGGACTGTGACTGAAATCACAGTAGTGCCGAAAGAAAGGACGTATGACTGGTTCTCAAAGTTATGGATGTTGCTGTGCCCCCACGATCATGTGATCAAAATTCAGGCGCATGGCAGCCCATCTGCATTTCTGACCACAGAGGCATGTCAACTCCCCCCCCCACACACACACGTATATCCTTTTGGCCTCCTATTTTAAATTCTGCAACCCTGATGCTCCAGCTAACCTTTGCTGTCTTCTTTCTCCCACTGCTGACCAAGCATGCCTGGCTGGCTGTTTGCAAGATAGCTACTGGCCACTCAAAGCTTTCTTCTTCAGGTCAGACATGGCCGTTGCCATATGAAACCTGGGAAAGATGGCTTTATGTGGCTAACAACTGCCTCCCAAAGAGCCAGACTGGGTACATCTCATTGGCAGTGGGAGGAAGAAGACAGCTAAGGTCAGATGGGATGGTGGAGTGCAGGGCAACATGGCCTAGGAGTGCAAGGTATGAGGGTGGCTAGATCTGAGTTTGGAAGACTGTGCTTTCCCAGAACGTGGTGGTTTTCCACTGGATTTCTGGATCAGACTTGGATAGTTGCAGTTCTTGCAGCCCTATAACCCCAGCATCCCAAAGATGCTTTTTTTCCAAGAGGCAACTGAACTTTCTTGTTTTTTCTTTTGAAAACGTTTCGCTTCTCATCCAAGAAGCTTCTTCAGCTCTGGCAGGATAGTAAATATAAATCCTTCCATTCCTCACTATCTTGTGAGGAGCAAAACGTCTTCAAAAGAAAAAACAAAGTCCAGTTGCCTCTTGGAAAAAAAGCACCTTTGAGACAACCATGACTGGATGACTGAGAATCTCTACAGACTCCCAGCATACCAAGTAATCCCTGAGTCAAGGATAAGCTCTCCCCAGCCTCCCTAAATTGGTCCAGACTTCAATCCCTCCCAAAATGCACACATACTGTCCCAGGTCTCCTGGGGCCTCCCCCATCCCCAATAGCGCTCCCATGTTCCTTACTTGGAATTCCTCCCACTTCCTGCCGATGAATTTGGAATTTTGATAGTAACTGGGACTTCCAGGATTGCTGTTGCTAAGCAAGGGAGTCACATTATG